GCCTTGCATTGCAGCATTTGTTATCAATAAACTCCCGTATGTGGCACCTGCATCCGGCGGCAATGTCGTTGACACATCGATGGGTGAGGACGATTGTGCCGCGACGACCGAGATGGATTTTTCCGATATTTGCAGCTTACACGTGATGTCAACCTCTTGAGGCCCGACAACAGTAGTCCCGTCATCTCCCATGTGCCCTGCTTGCGCGGCCACAGAGGCCGGCTCAGTCGAAGGCATGAAATCATGAGAGCAACTCCCCTCCAAGGTTGTGGCGGTTTGATCAACTTTCAAGTTAATTGACCCGCGTGAGGGACTCGAGCGCAGGGCATAAAATTTGTTGCTGTACTCCAGTTGCCGATTGTCGCGCAAAACATTAAACAATTATTCGGCCTTGGCTTTGATGGCGGCCTCGCTCTGCTCTGGATTCTCGACGCGCACGCGATGCAGGATCGTGAGTTTCGTCGTTTTCAACCAGATGTCCTTTGACATCCGGTGAAAATTCTTCCAACCGCTTGTGTATTTCACCGCCATCTTCCACTCCCCATCTTGGATGCACGGCTGTAAAACGCCCTCATGCCATATGATGTCATGGCCCCACTGATCCTCGCCTGTGTGGGCGTGTTTGCCCTCCAAGAAATATATTGTGTCCGGGTCAGCACAGTAGCCTGAAGGAATTGCATCGCCTGGTGTGAGCGTCGACACCTCGCCTGGTATCTCAATGTCGTCTTCTTCATTGTCACCGCATCTTCCAATGTCTTGCAATGCAGCACTCTCGGACGGGGCCACCATTGAGGCGACGCTTGGGGCGGTCACCGGGATGGACCCTCCGTGCGAATGGACAGTTCCGTCTTCGTAAGCTTGCACTATTCCACCGCGCGGAATCTCCGCACATGTGTCCTCACCCAGTCGAGGTCGGAGTCCGAAGAATCTTCCTCGCTGTCGACGGGGTTAAAGCCATCGCCCGATTTCGCGAGCTCCGCGTAGTCCTTGGACGTCAATTTGTCTTTGCGAAAATCGAACTTGAGGATCTCGCATCGAGCAACAAAAGTCTCAAGGGCGCCAGTGAGAGCACCGCGATAATGTTTGAGGGTCTCTGTTGCCTTTGCTTTCCTGTATATATATTTCCCGTCAAGCCGTCCTTGTGGCATATCGCGGAACAAGTACTCCCACACCTTCAGTCTCTTAGGCCCCAACTTGTGGAACATGTCCCTGTTCGGGCGATGTTTGCAACGCGGTTTCTTGATGTGGCAGTTGAATCTGTCGTCGTTGACAAGTATATCGATGAACTTTGTCAAGTATGCAATGTCCTTTGCCGACTCGTCACAGGCAATGACATTATTCCCTGACAGTAATAATTCCCACACAAGATCCGTGTGCGCCCTACCCAATAAAAGCACACCTTCCGCCTCCCCGACGAATGACCCACACAACGAACGCAACATGCCAGGCTCTCGCTCCCAGATGGAATACACCACACTTTCATCGCCCTCTATGCCACCGTGTTTCCCCAGACACTTCCTAAACTTGTCCTCCACAACATGCACGTTTGTGAGGTCATTGACAAGGCGGGGTGCGACCGTGACCTTTCTGAGATCCCCTCCCTCCGCATGCAGGACAATAGCCATCATGTCTCGACTCGCCGTAGCGATATTGCCATACCTCCTGATGTCATTCGATGGCCTATCCACCCGTTTCCAGGTCCCGAGGATGAGTTCGATGTCCTCCCACTGGAATAAGCAACGCAGAAATCACTTTGCACCTTCTGCGGTGCGAAGACAAAAAGAACCCAATAAACGCCACAACACTTAGTCACCATAGAGTGTAGAGCGTCGAACTCTTGAGAGGTCCATGTCGTGCAGAAGTTAGCGGGGGAGATGTCAAGGATGACGGCCCTGCAGGTCATTTTTTGCGCCGCAGCGACGATGTCGTCTGGCGCAGCCAGCACTTCCTTCAATGGCATGCACACCGGTAGCAATGTTGTTTGTTTTTTAAGTTTATCCCACATGATATGACGTGCGCTGGAGGCGACCCGTTTGACCTCCGCCCAAACCAGATCGAGCTTATCGATTGAGATGTATACAAACACCTTAAAGTGGAACGGAGCCTCCTTATACATTGCCGCCAAAGGGCCCAAGCCTGATCCTTGCCTTGCCTCCTCCACCCCTCCAAGCCGTCGAGGGACCGTCTTCACTTTGCTGACATGCAGCTTGTCCCGTTCCTTCTCCCATTCAGCTGCACACAGACCGTTTGGCCCATAACTGTCTTCGAGGTCCTTGTATGACATGAAGAAGGCATCATTCCACTCATCGTCCGCCCTTCCCTCGGCGTGAAAAATAACGTAGTTGAACATACGGACCATGTACCGTTCCTTGCGCATGATGTTGAGGAGGCACTCCGTATTCACTCTCGGAGGCATGACCTTGACGTTCGTCACGACCACCTTCCCTTTCATGAGGAGTACCAGTGCAACTTTCCTCTCGCGGCACTTCAAATCCCCAAAATTTTTGAAGTAGGAAGGACAGAGATCCTTCCACGACACGGTGGAGCCTTTGGGACCATCTCTCGCGTATATGCAATGGTATAATGTTCTTTGCCCCTTCGTCTCGTTGGTGTACGGGCCTGGCTGGCGCCCCTCCATCCTACCCGGCATGTCAAGCGGTATTTTACCATCGCCAACTGGCAGCTTCCCCTCGTTGAACATCTCGAAGAACTTCTCGACCAGT